CGTAAACTCGGTACATACAACGTGTCCTCTAACTTAATAGATTTTGGCGAGTATCTACCTGTTTTCGCATTTAAATTTACATTACCTATACCGGTTGATTCTACCCATTGATCGGCGGCTGTATACACCTTGTATTGCTCATCATTGTTTACAGTCTCGAATTTATTTCGCTCGTTACACATATGCCTTGTCGCGCCACTATCTAGGCACCATACACTCGACCTTTTAACCGGTTCCGTATTGTACGCAATCGCAGTCATCGCTTCGCTTAAATAATACGAATTTTCACGTTTCTCGATTGATTTTGATCTACATTCTATAGTTTTATGTCCGTATCGCCCGCAACTGAAACACTTACCATTAAACTTTCGCGGCTTCGCTTTATAGTCTTTCGCGTACGCTCGTGTATATTTTTTCCGATCGAAATTGTCCTTTACATGTAACGCATCACTTTTGTTTTCTCTCTCACCTGACTTCACATCGCGTTCATTCTGTCTAGCCTCTTCTTCCTTTATCTTCGCCATAAGATTATCCAATGTAGGTATATCGTCCCGCGATTCAATTGCGATGCTGAAGTTTTCAAATTCCCTCGGTAACGAAATCAGCAGCATTATGGACAATAATTCGTCCGAAATTTGAATACCGGCTTCCCTGACTTGATCTGCTTTTTCAGAAAACTCGTTTAAATATTGAACAATAGTCGTACCTGGTTTTCTTTCCATTCGTAGAAGTTCTTTGCAGAGAGTCGCCTTCCTCACTGGCCCACGAGATTCAAAGACAATTTTCAACTTGTCCCATGCTTCCTTTGATGTATTCGTTTTTTTTATGTGAAGAAGCTGACCATGCATAACACTTAAATTTATCAACGCCAAAGCCTTTCCGTCCTTTCTTAACCATTCTTGAGGGTTTTCAACAGGTTTTACTTCACTACCGTCGACGTATTGCCATAAGTCGTTATACGTTAATATGCTTCTCATCTGTATCTTCCACAAATCATAATTGTGCTCCTTTAACTTCTCGATGCTCGAGAACATACTAGATGCAGCCATATTCCAGTACGAATTTTTACGTATTAAACACTTCGACACTTATTTTTTCCTTTATATTACTTAAGAGGCATGTCTGGGCCCATAACCTGACAGAATTAACACACAGTATATGCTTAAATAAGTAATATATTTAATACAACAGGAAATATATAAATATGAACGAGCGCATGTTAGCTGTTGCAGCTCGAGATGCCAACCAAACAACAACCGAGTAACGTCGTGTGAACGCATCTCAAAGACGAAAGAAACAAAACATTCAACGACATGAACAACGCCCATCTCGACGGTCTATTTAAATTAAACACATATAGATCGCTTTCTCACAAAAACAAATAACTTTTACATTTCATTATATTCGACAAGCATCTAATTATGTCATATGTACTTTAAGTATTTTGTATTGTCTCTCGAGGTCCACTATTGTTTACGAGAAAATTAGATTCGATAATAAATTTAATTTACTTTGAAAAAAATCTGGGGGTTCCGATATCATTTCTTTGCCATTTATAATTCCAGAATTATGGTACCATATCATATACATATAATAGTATACCGATAGTGAGAAAACAGCTTGATGATAAGTTTTCCAATTGATGGGTCGAACATAATGCAGGGCAATGGCCGGAAGGATCTTGGGATATCGTCTCTTACCGCCATTAAATTACTTTTTGCGAGGATACATAAAAGGCATCGTTTATCAAACTGCCTTTCTAGGAAACGGAGTCGTCCATTCTAATCGCCAATTCTATAGCAGATCACAACACCGTTTACGAGCAAAAAAAAAACAAATGCAGTGCAAAGATATTTTTATTTTATTTTCTTGGACTAAAAAGGTACATTTCCCAAATCATATTCTTCGAGAAAATGTAGAGAAAATATCAATTTTAAAGGACTAGAATATAATAAATAACACGATAGAACAGTTCCATAAATTTTCAAACCAAAATTACTTTGATCGAAAGGTACAATTTTCAACTATAATATCTTTGACAATAAATCCACTGGAAAAGTTAAATGGGACGCCCTTCCGCGGATCGATCTTCGGCGACTGCAAAGGGGACAGAAGCGGCGAAAACGTTTCTTTTCCTTCTTTTTCGAGCCTCCCGATACTCGTAATTTCCCAGCACCCTCGAGGAGACGTAGGTGGTGCGAACCAAGTATTTATTTCTAGGGCCCTCGAACCGTTTAATTTTTTCGCGTACCGTTCGAGTAGACCGAATAATTGGCCTCCGAACTCTCGATTTTCATCTCTCGTTTTCTCTTTTTATTATATTTTCTTTTCTCCCCAGCCTCTCGATTCCTCTCGTTTCCCTTCGTGACTTCGTCTGAACGTTGAGAAATCGCTTTCTATTTGCTCGAGGGTCCCATACAAATTCCCATCAAAGCGAACATTAACATAATAATCGAAGTCGAACATATATGTATCTCGATCAATGGTAGGAAGTAAAAGAATAATGTTAATCGGACATTCCGAACGATTTTCGCTATAAGACGTAAGTAGACACGACTTCAGTTGTCCTCGAGAACGAGACGACAAAGGCTGACATCATTCGCCTTCTCTCTCGAATCCTCGAAGTTACACGAAGCGTCGAATTTCACGGATCTACGCGTGGCTCGTGGATTAGTGTGCGTAACTGGGGAGGCAGTTCCCCCGTGGCATCGGCCTGTACAGGCTGGTATACAGGATGTTCGGCCACCCCTGGCAAAAATTTCAATGGGATATTCTGGAGGTCAAAATAAGACGAAAATCAAGAATATCAATTTGTTGATGGAGGCTTTGTTAAAGAGTTATTAACGTTTAAAGTTCCGTCCTTGCTGAATTTTTTTCTCGAAAATGCGCAGGATTTCGGAGGTATGTGTATTCATAAAAAATGATTGTAATTGACCCCCGCAACCGAAAATAATTTTTCCAGAACGATTTGAAATTTTTAAATTTAATTGTTAATAACTTTTTAACGAAGGCTCAATCAGCAAATTGGCATTCTTGATTTTCGTCTTATTTTGACCTCCAGAATCTTCCATTAAAATTTTTCCCAGGGGTGGCCGAACACCCTGTATAACACTGGCCGAGACTCGAAATCGAAGCTGGGAAATTGAGAGTCTCCGCGGGCGAAATTTTCATGCAAAGTCCGCCTAAGTAGCTGAAATGCTGAGAGGATCGGGAAGAATGGCGCGTTTCTCTCCGGCGAGTTTCGCGTTTTCCGGATTTCCCCGTCTTGAGAACGCTTTCGCGCGCCTCCTCGCTGAAACTTATCCGCTCGGGGAAGAATAGCGACGCCAGACGAGAGAGTTGGGAATCGTATCGTTTCACGTGTACGTTTCGTTTCCTAGCTTCCTTCCACGCGTTTCGCATTCCCCCACGCACTCCAGTCGACGACGATCGTTCCTCGACTCGACATTTTCTTTCTTTACGCTAGAAAACCGGGACAAAATTACTCATTCTCGTTATTTTACTGGCTGAGAATTGTTACAACAAAAGTGACAGCTTCGAGATTTATCGGTCGATTGAATTCCGAAACGATGTACCGCCGAAGAATGGAGATTCCTTAAGGAATAAATCACACTAGGATCCTCGGTACGCCATCGATCAAAGGATGAAATCGTTTATCTTATTCTTTGCCAACTCCCTCTAGTTTGTGCAAATACTACTACAGACGGGTTAAATCAATCGCGATCCGAGAGGAGAGATATTCGTCCGTGGCGTTGGGAAACGAATGATAAATTTTACGCGTTTTCTCGCAAAACTATGAAGACGAATGCGTTGTTTGCTTCCTGGACGGCTGAACTGCCGCCCTGACCCGCAACCACGCGTAAATAATACTTGTATGTTTTCATGGAAGTTTGCGAAGATTCGAATGCTTGTATGTTGGGCGCAAACATTCCTCAAATTTCTACGAGAATCGAGAAAAACACGATAAACTTGGGGAATTCGATGAAAATACATTGGCTCGATCCTCTTATCTAATGGAACGTTGAAATAAGTTACTTTTTAGATCAACTTCCTAACCTGCAATTTATTATATTTTGAAGACAAAGAGTTAATTCAATAAAACTTGTAAATTTGTTAATATATTTCTTGCTCGTCTTCGTACGAGAAATTATTTTGGTAGTATCTTTTCGGGAAGAGTAACGTTTAAAAACGTGAATAAAATACAAAAGAACTTGGTCCAAGAGGGATAGAACGGCTTGCAATGGTGAAAAATGGCTCCTTTATGGTACTGTTCCGACAAATAAAACTGGTACGCGACACGTATGTGTATTTGGGCTTTACGAGTAACTAGAAATGTTTATATATACAGAGCTTACAGATACTGGGACAAGCTGTATCTCTTTTTCAAGCGAAGATACGAACAATCGACGTGGGGAAAAGTTGAATCCCGCGATGAGGTACTATCTTTTTGACGATATAAGTTTTTGTTTCGATACAACGGTGCAATCACAACACGCATTTAGTTCTTTTGTACAAAACCATGCTTCTCTTTTCCTTTTATACATACATATTCCCAATAGGATAGATAAATACAAAATACTAACTTCAAAATTGTACTATTTTTCGTCTATAACATTATCTACGTATTATTGTTTTCCCTCGATGTTCTACACTTGGCTTCCATATTGGGACGGCCATATTGGAATTATCAAAATGACCGTTGGGAAATATAAACGGCGCAAAACAACACGATTCAAATCGAGAACATTCGTGGAAATAATTGTAGTCGATGTATATATGTATATACAGTATATATAGACTTTAACGCTTTTATTTCGTTAATAGAATAAAATAATGTATACGGGGCTAGGATTTAAACGCTCGATTCTGAACCTTTGTAGAAACGTGGAAGGACGGTGGTTACTGTTTACGTTGTCACCGTCTCACTCTGTCGTTGACCTTGCTGCTACATATTGAATTTCGTCGACGTGACGTGAGAATTTTGTTGCTTTTGGTTTCAGACACGCATTGGCCGGTTCTCATCTGCGTTCTCATGGCGACGACGGTGCTTTCCTGCCGGCAGAGCGAGTTCCAGTGCAGCAACGGGCGCTGCGTCGCCCTGAACAAGGTGTGCAACGTCGTCGACGACTGCGGCGACGGCAGCGACGAGCCACGCCAGTGCTCGCGTGAGTACAACTTTTCCATTCTATCGTTCCTTACCCCCGCGGTAATTTCGTCTAAAGGGCCACTCAGAATTTCGATCGACTTCGTTGAAACGCGACCGTCTCCGCATCGGCGAAAAAGAGGTTAGGTTACATTTCTCTTGGCGCTTTTTATTTTCGCGGCGTTCAAATCGAGGCGAATTCAGGACGATTCGTCCACGTTGGACTTTTGGTATCGATCTGGTTCGATGCCATTCGATGATTTTAGATACAAGCGTTTAGGGACTCCAATAGTTACTACTTGTCCGATATTTGGAGAGTTACTGGATTCCTGTCTCGTCTTTCACGTTTGCTATGAATTAATAAAATTAAGTATTTTCTAAATAAAATTAATCGGCGATTGTACCACGTTTGAAAGAGCGACTGTCGTCCGATCACCGAAGTGAAGTCACCGATCGGCCGCGTGCAGTACAGGATGGGGTGACCGCTTGGAGAACACCCACGTATCGTTAATTTGTGTATCGTTTATATTGTTTATACCTCCCTATCGGTTTTGTAATAGAGCATTACTTGCCCCGTTAATATTGTTATTTGATAGTGTTCGGATACTGAGGGATGTGGTTGATAAATAATACTTGTCACTTTTTATGAAACTAATATATATACATATATTGTAGGAAATAAACAAACTTAATTATGTGGGATTTAGTATTAAAAGGATGCGGTGATACAAGAAACTCTATTCCGTCGGTAAACGATATAATTAAACTCTTTATTACTCTGTGATACACTCTTGAAAAGACTCTGTGTCTCGTCAGCTGTTTCGCTTCTTATATGCTATTGTCGCGTTCCCCGGGGTTATCGCACCTTCCGCTCTCTCACTCACTCATTCACTCTCTCTCTCTCACTCTTATCCTCGCGATCGTTCACTCGTCATTTGGCCAGTATTTTGAAAACGCGACGCTCGCCTTTGTTATTGCCGGGCCGTCGCGCAACCGTCTTACAAAAACGTGTAAAAACATTTGTCGACTCTTCTAAAAGAGTTCAAGCGCCGATCAGCCGCGATGATTATTTTATGATTATTTTACTCCTACAATTATAACACTATCATTATCGCTACGCATATTCTATCCATCATGGTCATCTTTCTCACACACTTCCTTTCTCATACATTCATATTCACAGATGGCGCATAGATCGAGACTATGTGGTGGATAGGTTCGCGCTGGGAGAGTCTTCAGTTATAAAATTCAATTCTGTTGTTGTATTAAAAAAAAGACTTTATTTAAGCACACATCTGCTTTCTTACTTCTTGCTTTGCGTAGGCATCGAACAGAACTGGCCCCTAAAAATCTCTGGGCCAAGAAAAAGGGGGTGCGCCAACTTAAATCTAATACTACCAACTAGTGACTTACAAGGGGAGGTCACGATCTGCCAACCTGGGATTTGAATCAAAGGCAGAGTTAGTGGCTGATGTCCAAATGGAATCTGTAAAATACTAGACGTTTATGGCCAGCCATTTTTGAAAAAATGACTTTAAAGTTTAAAATTTCAAAGTTGTCGGATCGAAATCGTTTTTTTTTTAAGTTTCAGGTCTCGATGAGAGGAACACAAAAGTTCAATACATTTTTGCCGTACCATCAATAGTTTAGCCAAAGATTTGAGTATTTTGTAACGGGATAGATGCATATGTATCGTGTAGTTTGAAGGTGTTTTCAACAGCCGTGGTAGCCGTGGAATTAACGTCAAAGAATTCGGCCCAGAAGACTGGAATTCGTATTCCCGGAATTAGAGCATTTTGTTTTTTTTTCTTTTTTTCGCTTATTTTGTAATTTTTATTTATTTTTAATATTATGAAAGTAGTTGGCGGTTACAAATAAATAAAATACTGTTATGTTTATTTTATTTATGTATATAAATGTTTATTTTCACACATATTTACACACATATTTACACACATATTCTCACATATATTTACATCTCACGTATAAATAAATACAAAAAGTAGATAATTATTTCATACGAGTTTCACAATGCATTGTATGATTTTTATCATAAAAGCAAGAAAAATAAAATGGTTTCACATACCAAGCGCATGTTTTAAATGCTTGTTCTCTACAGCATTTTCTATTCTTTAGGTCGTGTGAAAAACATATTTCATTCACATTGCAAAATATTTCTTTTGTATTATATACAGCGCAGTATGCGTTAACTTATTCGGGAAAACTTTTGCCAAAAATATTTTCGTGCCTGCAAGAAGTTGGAGGATCTTTTAGACTACGGGTGGCTGCAGATGTTCAAAGACAAGAAGAGGAATTAGGCAATGTACACATTACTTGCACAAAGTCAGGGAAATTGCAATCTGATACCTATCAATTATTTTTGAAAAATGTAGTTTATTTATTTGTAACAGCCAACTATTTTCATAATATTAAAAATTTAGTTAAAAATAAATAAAAATTAAAAAATAAACGAAAAAGAGAAAAAAACAAAATGCACTAATTCCGAGGATACGAACCCTAGTCTTCCGGGCCGAATTCTTCGACGTTAACTCCACGGCAACCGATGTTAGATCTTACTTAAACTAACTAAAACTAATTAGAAACTAACTAAAACTAGGGACTTAACTAGATAGCGCTTGCTACGCCTGTGACGTTAGCCGCCACAACTATAATATTTACATACATTCCAACAGATAGATACAGAATTTTAAAATTAGTCCAGCTTTTAGGTACAGTGCCAGCGAATTATAAGTCAGCGTTCGTTGTTTTCGATCGAAAAAACGTGACCGTCTCGCGATTGCCGCGCGACAAAAGGATTTCCACTTCGTTTAGAAGCCCCTTTCTGTTCCTTCCTCTATTTGTTTGTCTTGCTGGCGTCTCGAGCCTTGCTCGGCTGTGCAATTAATCCTCGAAAAACACGGCCCCTCCGTTTAATACGCGATCCATGACGGACTCGTTCCGTCGGCCAAAGACAGGGGATGTTTCCCTCGCTCGGACGAGTCTGCTATCGACAGACCGTGATAAAATAGGGCTGTTCACCCCCTCCGAGGAGGGGGAGAGATCTGCGAACAAAAACCCCCGGAGTCTTGATATCCCCCCCCCGATGCCTTCGTTCCTTCTCGATCCTCTAATTTTCGTGATTTATCCCCGTCGGTCCCGAACGGATCCTTTAAAGAACGTCGAGAGGGCGGGATTTATCGTGTCTCGCGTCGATCATTCCGAGAAGCTCCGAAGGATTCGATCATCGAAAGGAAAGCCAAGCCCCCGGACGATTGATTCTTTCGAAACGCGTCCGGGTCTAAATCGAAAAGTAAACTGGAATTTAACCCCCGGGGCGGACGTTTCTCGAATTCCTTTTCCGCGGAAAGTAAGTCGACGGGCTTTGCAACCCCTTCAATTATACGTACAACTTTTATTCCGTGCTTCGAAGAGAGAGCTCTCGAGGTAAGTTTTGTTTCCGCGTCGCGCTAGGAAAAATATTTGCCCGTTTAGGATGGTGGATGGAATAATTAATGGCGCGCCCCGTCTCTTTCGAGAGCTTTGATAAAAGAAAAAAACTTTACGCGGGAAATTCGATCGTAAATAAAATATCGAAGATGAGAAATCGTGTAAACGAAGCTTTTGGTATTTTAAGGGGGGGACTGAAACTGCCTTTTGAAGACGTTTTCAAGGTCGTTTCAAGGTCGTATATTTTTTTTAGAGATAGTGACTTTTTAAATATATTTACATTCAATGTTATGTCTCTTTATTACTATTTGTCGTATCGTAGAATTTGTTTCGGAAATATTTAGTTTGCGCTACAGAGGGTTATGTTTAAATTTATTACAAATAAAAATCAAGTGGTTTATCGATTGTTATTTAAATAAATATCAAAATTTTGAGAATCGACTCTGTTATTAAACGCAGCCTGTTAGGTTTAGGAGTTTCCACGCGGCGAATCCACGAGGAAACGCTAAGACGCCAACCCCTTTGGTTATCCAGTATTGTCTACGACGCAACCCCCTAACTGTCGCTCGTTGGCAACCGCAGAAAATGTCGCGCGATTATAAACGAGGAGCTTAGAGGCTTAATATTCGCGACTCGTGGTCTGGCTGGATTAAACGAAGCGGACCCTCGAGTAAAATTCACGGTTCGCGGAGGAGGCGCCCTGAGGAATCGAGTCTCTCCCTTTCCCATTCTCTGTTACGCCATTTCTGCGGCGAAACAGAACGTTCGTCAAATAAATCTGGCAGTTTCCTGCGGCGTGTCGTTCGCCACTCAATCTTAGATCGAACGATTCTATTTACGCGAAATCTATTCGAACGATCGAATCAAACGCCACACCGTGGAAGATCGTTTTCTCAGGAGCTGACTCCGGGCGGCTACGCGTCCGCCATTTTTATACGGGACCGATCGTAATTCAACCGCGAGTCGTAAAACGCGACGCGTTGCACGATTCGAATGTTAACGGTGCGCCGTTTTTATTACTTAATGCGCCCGGGGGCGGGCAGAAAGGGTGGAGGGCTGATAAAACGATGGAAGACTCGCCTGGATCCGATAAACCAACGAACGAGCGTCCCAGCGGTGTAGCAAATGGGCGCAAAAATAAATAAAACTGATAGTTTGGTGAAAAGTTTGATAAACAAAAACCTGAATCTTAAATATAAACAAAGAATCTTTTGTGTCAAGTTCGTTGTAATTATATGAAAAATAAATATATACTTATTTTTACAGCTTTTTTATTTGAATAGCGTTATAATTTTACAAGTATCAACAATTTTCTAATATTAAAGGATTTACAAGTTATAACCTGTCGGTCATCGGTCACCGTCGCACAAATCGTGTTAAACCTAACTCACCGGATGCCTTCTTCCGAGGGTTGGTGTCAATTATAGCAGTAGAGTTTTACCAGTATCAAGAATTTTTTAATATTAAGGGATTTGCAAGTTATAATCTGTCGGTCACCGGTGACCGTCGCGCAAGTCGTGTTAAACCTAACTCTCCGGATGTCTTCTTCCAAGGGTTGATGTCGGTTATGAAAAT